AGGGTCAGTAGACCAATGGGCTTGTCTATCGTGAACCACAGTTTCAAGCCATCCGCAAACATTTTGGATGCCACACCCAATTCAGCACGTAGGTCATTAACGTTTAAAGTGAAGAGAAGGGGGCTAGGAACCGGACAAAGCGGAACGCCACTGAGAACACATTGGCGGAAGTACAGGCTTCAATCCACCCGCACACATACTTTCCTTCCGATTAGGAAAGCTGAAATCAGTCGTAAGACTGGTCCAGAAGTACCAAAGGAATACAGCTTGTACAAAAGGCGCGAAAGTGAAACGGTATCAAAAGCTTTGGAAAAGTCAACAAACAGCACGTCCACTGCCTTCCCGCAATCAACGGCTTCGGCCCAGTGTTCACGAGCGGTTAACAAGATAGTAAGGTAAGCAATAGCACTTAGGAAACCATGCTGTGAAGAATAAAGCAACTCAAACGCTTTCAAGTGTCCTTCCAGTGTGTCCATCGTCCGCTTTTCCAATAATTCGACCAGCACGCTGGTTAAACTGACCGTTCTATAGTTATCAGGGAGATGCCTATCACCTTTCTTAAAAATGGGACAAACAATAGCCTCCATCCACTCCTTGGGTAGAGAGCAGCCTCGTAGCGACTTCAAAACAAGTAACGTAATCGGACGACAAAGTTCATCACCTAACTGTTACAACAGTTTGGGATGAATAGCTTCTCCACCGGCAGCTTTACTGGGATTTAAATGCCTCAGAAGCCGGAGCACTTGAGCCTCGGTTCTAGAAACCTCCTTCAAGTGGGAGCCCTCAGGAACTTTTGCCTGGAGACTGGTATGCGGCGTCTGTGACTCTGGAACATAAACCCCAGCATACTGTTCTCCGAGCAAACAAGCTTTTCCGTGATCCGTGACAACAGCAGTGCCCGTCTGGACCAAACAACACTGGGATGCGCGAATCCATGTTGCTTCGCCTTTTGACATTATCGAAGAAGCGTTTCGGGTTTGATGAGGCTATACGAGCAAGCTCTACTTCAAGTTTTCGACGAGCACCTCGTAGATACTGTCTGCAGGCATTTCGAACCTCACGATATAAATAAATAAATAAATAAATAAATAAATAAATTGTGTATTCTCGACTAAGCGAGGCACGCCTGCGCAGGCATGATCATGTTAAGAGTACAAAATGTGCTCAGTTAGTGTACAATGGAACAATGGGATTGTTGCATATGTTTATGTATGAATGTATGTTTGCATGTAGGCGTGTTTAGATTTGTTTATGAGATTGGTAAATGTTTCCTGTCGTTTTGCTTGAATGTGTTTGAAGGTGTCGCCAGTGCTAAATGGATGCTTGATAGCTGTGGACTTGAAGCGATTGTCCGGATAAGCAATGGGTGACTTTAGTTAGTGGCTAGTCACAACCGCCACGTCACAGTGTTGGTAAACGGACTTTTGTGGCTTTTTATAGGGAGAACGTTTGCCAGGCGAAAACCCACCACGTCCTGGAACACTGCGGCCGAACTATTTGCTGGAAGGGGAGTAAACCCGAATCACCCAGCTGGCACCACGAGGAGGTTGTTCGGTCAGCCAGCCAGCCAGGCCAGCCAGCCAGCCAGCTTGAAGGTGCATAATGAAGGAGCAGATAAGTAGGTACGCCAACATTTGGCATGTCTGTTGAGTTGTTTGTGTACAGCAGAATCAAACCAAGGTGGCTTTGCCCTAGTTGTTTCTGCCAGATAGTGGTATATGGGGGAGAGAGCTCACTAATGCATGATTTAAACCTGTCCCAGGCCGTTTGAATGTCTTCACTTTCGAAAATGACACAAGGCCACTTTGCGGCTTCGGTTTTCATTGTCCGAAAGTCCGCGCGCCATATATTTGAAACTCGGTCGGGATGATCATTCGTCTGACGACTAAGGGCGCACTAAAATGAGAGACATGCGTGGTCCCTAGCACCGAAAGGAGATTTGTATACAATATCCAGGACAAAATCAATGAATTTAGAGAAGATGAAATCCAAGAGGGACGGATTTGGACCTATTATGAAGCTAGCGGGCCGATCGACAAATTGTTGCAGGGAAGCATGCAAGGCCAGGTCGAGAAGCTCGGTAGCCAAACACCTTGCAACAGCGTCGCAGAAACATTCTGCCAGTCAACGTCAGGAAGATTGAAGTCCCCCATCACTAAACACCTATTTGCCGAATGCTCGCGGATGAAATCAGCTAGCCCCTTGGCAACGCTGTCGGGGCTTCTATAGACCAGCACAACTTTAAATCCCGCGGAGGCAATACACAGGTTAACTGCGAGTGCCTCAACATCACCACGCGGTGATCTGAAATTATACGTCTTAAAGTCAGTAAGTGCGGAGTTAACGTACAAAGCAACGTCACCTCCGCGCCGATCAGAGGTGCGGACACATCTCAGCAGTGCTTAGCCTGGCAAGCACACTTCCGGTGGACAACCACGTTACAGTGAATGCGTGAACGTCTGGACGGCAGTCGTCCACAAAGCAGCCGACTTCGCACAGCTTGTATCGCAGGCTACGCACATTGCTTAAGATCACCTGAAGGGATTTGACATTGTGAGTCCGGGATCGTGCCTCACCAAAACCGGCTCTGCATTGGCGGAAGTGGACCGCCGGCGCACCACGCGAAAACCCACCAAGCGGAGGCCCTTTTGTTCTGATTCACGGCGGGCTTTAAGATCCTTCACAGCTTCCCGCAGGTTAAGCCTATCCGCCAAAGGAGGTCTGTGTGCACAATGACACCAGTGCCCTTGAGCTTAAAGGCGAAACGCAGAAGTGCTTGGCACGCCTCCGGAGTGCACAGAACAATTCACAAAAACCGAGGGCGAGACTTGTCACCTAGCAACCTACCGAGTCTGATTAGTTTGCGCACAGTCACGCCGGGGAAGCCTGGAGGCAGGACTTCGGTAACGCATATTCAAAACCCCTAAAGGTCATCTAGCATACGGTCCTGGGAGAACAGCAAAAGACGCAGTATCGTTTCTGAAAATAACACTGCAGTCGGTATACGAGTCTCAGCGACGCGGCCTATTTACCGAACGCTTCACTGGACGTCAGTGGTTTCAGTTTAGTGTCCGCTTTTATAGACTCTAATGTTGTAGATGTTTCCAGTTGCAACGATTCCGTAGTAGTGGAAGTTGAGGAGGAAAGGGCGCCCGACGGATCTTTCATGTCCGCCTTGCGTTTTGCCACTTATTTAACCCACTTTCGCCTTCTTTTGACAACTGCAGAGACCTGCTGCTCTCCTTCGCTAACAGCCGAATCAAACGCGCTGTTTGAGGGTTGGTTACTAACAAGGTCGTTGCTAACAGGTAAACTGACATTCGACAGTGAACAAATAGATGCAGGATCTGACAATTGCCAGTGTCTTCTGGCAAGTTGAACACGGACATCAGGGAAACCCCTCTTTCCCCCGTGTCTCCGTCAACCGCCTGTTCTGTGGATATAGCCATGGCTCCCCAAAATGGAAAACATGACAATGACACAAATGCGATTCCTTTCGTTCGTAAAATTCAACAGTCAACTTGAAAGAGAAATGGGCTCAACATTCAGCATACTGTAACGGTTTAGCACTTTTATACCGTAAAATAGCAACTTACAGTTTCCCAGGAACGTTGCTACGCCTGCCATGAACACAGGGATACCGCACGTACCGGTACGGGTACTAATTTGGCAACCCCTTCTACTTTTGCCGTTCATAATGCTGTGGATTCACAGCCGTATGGTTGCAAAAAGCTGTGGCAGTTGCAAATTTCTTTACATCGGACACAACCTCATCAAGTTTTCGATAATAGTACGCACCAAAAGGAAGAATCTTTCAGATTCATCCACCATGATGACAGTTATAAATGTGGCGCCAAGTGGTTTCCAATACTCCTGTGGTCTATCACAACAACTAACTAGGAGAACCACATTAATCGTCTTCAATACAAAACATACACCAGGTTAACATGTGCATACTATATATATATATGCAAACCACCATTTAATGGCAACCTCTCCAGTTCGCCTAGCATACCTACGGAACCGAATCCGCCGCTAAGCAAATCTCAGATGTGAGAGTCCCGGTCCGTCCCATGACCCATTGGCACCTTGAACATATACCTTTGGGAGTTCAAAACATGTAATCTAACACGTTCAATAAAGCATTTTGCAAAACTTGCTTAATAGTTTTGCTCCGTGTTAGTTACTTCTAAACGTTAACGTTACTAAATTTTACAACGTGTGACCTTGATGTTGTTTGCAAAGTTAACATGGATATCGGCAGCCCTCTAAATTATGCCTCAATTCGACATCAGCTTTGCTTTTGTTTTCATTTTCTATTTGCTAGTAGATGGAGCGTTAAAAATAGAGAAGCTATGCACTTAAACTTTATGAGCTATGTGTTGTATGAGTATAACAGCTACGCTACTACTTTTCATCTTTTGTTTCTCCTTACGGGCACGCAAAACGGGGCGCTCGTCAATAGGAAGCTTATTTTGTCCCTGGATCCTATCCTGTCCTGTCCTACAGTACACATTGCTCATGTCATCGGTTGAAAGGACGTTTTGGTTTCATGCTGAGTACTGTTCACCCATTTCATATTGTACATTTGTATCAAATTGTTGCCGACAAATGTTTCTTTCAGATTCCATCATTTGTCATACTCGTTATTATTCCAAAGGTTTTAACTGAAACTTCGCTGGGGAATTGAATATGAACTAACTGAATTGGGCAACGTCCATCTTATTATTTGATGTCACTAGTACGGTGTTGTACAACTCTGATAGCAAACTTCAATTGTTTGAATTACTGTGATTTTTTGACGCTTTTGGAACGACTCGTTTTCTATGTGCAGATATATTAGTGCTGCTCACGCTGCAGCTTTAACAATGTTCGCAACAATGATTAGTGCCGTTCATTTAACATGTAGGCCTTATTACTCTACCTTTTAACCGGACAAATTTGCTTGTTCGTTCCTTTAGGTCACTATACACTGCGGTTTAAATTTACGAAATAGTTACATGGAGACAAATTGGAGGTATTATGAAGAACAACTGTGTAAGGAGCGAACCATGCTTTTTAAAGCCTATTACTTAGTTTCTTGTCCAAAGTCTACCGGCATAAATGTTATTTCTGACCATGAAGAACACCAGAGGACCCAGAATTCCTTCAAGTATTATAATACTTTTATAACTCATATGGTTAAATTTCTAGCTACGCTTTAGACTGCGTTACGGCGTCTGGAATATCGAACTATCTGCCGGATTCTACTCAGTCGGAACCTGTTGCATCCTATGTTGAGACGGATGGCGACCAAGCCACTCATTCACCGACAGTTGCTGTCAGCCCTGCTGCATCTTATATGGATTTATCTTACTATCGAAATGGATTTCAAAAGCTTAACGATTCAGAAAGTTGGGATATATTGCGTTCTACAGAGCTTATCTTGGTTAACCATGGGGACCACACGGTTGAGCCACAGGTTGTTCCTGATAGCAATATGATGGAGTCCGGCACAAAAACCTTGAACTCAAGGCTTTCGGTGCTTTCGCCAGGCGCACTTTTGGTGCAGAGCGATTTAAAGACCAATGATGCTCCAGTGTTTACCAAAGATTGTATGAATGCGTGTGCATATCCGGACAATTCTACGCGTTGTAATAATGTAATTTTTTTATTTTACTGCCGCTAGGTCTCTCGCAAACGAATGCACTGATAAATGTGTTTGATGCTGTTGAACTTACCTCATCATATAAGTACACCTCTAACGATAAGTCAGTGTTCATGCCAGAAGTATTAACTAGAGAATTTTCCTCTAGTGCTCTCACCTTTATGAGGGGTGAGCATTGCTGGTCAAAGTACATAAAGGAACATGAGGGCAGACGTTTGTGAAGTCCTGTCAACCCCGGTATAAACGTACTTCCAACATTACGCAACTTGTTGTCATCTGGTTTTTCATTTCCCGTGCATTTCACATTGGCGGCTGACATTGGATTGCACGAAAGGTGTCCCGTAAACTATTAAGAGGTGTCTTACGTAGTGAACCAGCAAGTTGAATTTGCTGACAGTGATTTGGTTACAAATAACGGTGTTGCCAATGAAGCTGTTGTAAGGTCCAATCACTTAGCCAGGTCGGATGTCACACGAAATCGTGTTAAAACCCCATTTACTTATCATACTAGCAATCCCGCTGCAATAAATCATTTCCAAAGGTTTCTGATGAAAAGGAACCTACTGGGTTAGTTTTCATCTTTAAGCGGCTTGCACTGCCATAAAAATGTGAGCTGAATAGATGCGCTTCCACACCTTACATGACACTAGTGTGAAATCACGGGTTTTTAGGCATGCTATTATACTTTTGATACACGTCAAATTACTAAATTTTTCGTCTCATTTGCAATTGTCTAGTCTAATGCTTAAGTTGGAAGATAACAAGCATCCAATTCTACTTACGAAGTAAGAAAGCAACTGTCAAAACTGCATTTTTATGCACTAACCACAAGTGCAAAAATACTAGTTTTTATTTGTGCCTTATGAAGAGATTTATTATGCAACCTGATATAAGCTAAACGTTATAAAACTATATCCAAGTCCATACTTTACATATTTCTAACGGAGAGAATTAAGTTATGCCTATTTTATTGGCGCCTTTTAGTCAAATCAAGTCAAAACAAGACAATAAATGGTTTCGTAGGACAAAAACGCACATGTTTACAGTAAAACAAGATAAAATTAAGCAGAAAACAAATTACTAGTTGAAAAAGAATAATCAGTTCTACCATAAACGGTTTTGCTAATTCCTGCCAACAGTTTTTGGTCTAGCAAAATAGCTCTTATTACGTCATAGTTGACGAACGGTACGCTTGTGTATGGGTATATTTAAATTGGTACTTCTGTCTGCTTAGTGAATTTGACACACATTCAACTAATACACAACGCATGGCATGACTTGGGTTGATAAGTATTGTTAGTGCTAGTCTCTTGCAAGTAACAACATAAATGGTTGAAAGTATATCAACGAACGCCGGCTTCCATACATCGTTGCATCGCTGCAAGTGTTTTAGTGACCTGGTTATTAATTTAAGGTCTTTGCCTAGTAGACCAGGAAATGCTACTGGTGAGCCGTACGTTCAGTATGAAAGAATCCCAACAATGACAAAGCAAAATAGAATATCTTGAGAAACAGAGGACGCTCGTAAACATGAGACGCAGAACGATAACCCCAGAGTTTTGTTCTCATTCCGTTTATGTAGCATGCTTAAGCCTAAGTGTTTCTTTGTATAACGCCCAAATACTTTACCTATGTAGAAGGGGGCCACCTCATGCCATCGATGCTGAGTTCCGGGCATTGCTGAAATATCTGTTGATATCGATCGCACTTGTGTAGTAAAATAGTGCAAGCATTGCATTTTGACATATTGAGCGTCAGCTCCCGCGCCTTTGCTTAAAAGGTGAGACCGTTAAAAGTATCCTGCAACATGAATAAGGAGGCAGACATTGACTAATTGATACCCACAACAGTGTTATCTGCATACTTCAACATGCTTGCATTGACTGGAACTGATATTGTGCTTACAATGTTGGAGAGAGAAATGGTGACAGAATAGCACACTGATGAAGCTCGGTGTTTGAGACTAAGTGCGAGAAGCCACTGCCTCCAAAATAGGTAACCTGAGTACGACTGATAAGTAATCGATTAAACAATGAAAAATGGAAGGATGTATTCCTCCATCATGTAGATCTTTAAGTCATACTTCGTGGTTTACGCAGCCGAATGCGTTGCCGTTGTCTAAAAAGCTGACTAGGTGAACTTGCCTCTCTTATTCAAAGGTGACAAAACCGAGTGCACAAGGCAGGCTACTGCGTCTTGGGCTGACCACCAGATGCCGTTTCTAATATAGCTAATTAACATTTTTCTAGCAGTTAAAATAATTTCTGCCCATTGGTAGCTCAAAATTTTGCATTATCCTAGCACCTGCAGACCGACTTTAATTTCTAAACTAAAATGAACTAATAGTTATCACTTTTTACTTGTTAGTTGCGCAAATCTTTCTGGCGTTTGACTCCTTTTGGATGTAAAAGTCATATCGTGGAGAAGTGAGCGTTAAAGGAACGCAGACCACTGCTTTACTAGTGTATCATACTCTTTACTTGTTCGGCAAATGTACAATTTGAGCCCATATGTGCTTTTTTACCGCTAAGTGTTTTCAAAGTTTTTGATTTGTGCTGTTTCATTGCTTATTTAGTTTCCAGTACACAATGTGTGACTCAACAAGCGTTATCTGCATTGCGCCTTAAGTTAATTATAGATATATGCTTGCTTTCCGTTTCGTTTAACTGAATACTTTAAGCACAGCTGCAAGTGTTTTATGTTTTTGCTGCGGCAACCTACACACCATGCATTACTTCTATCCATTTATCATTTATCCACATGCATTGTTTGGTTTATCAGCGCTGCTAAGTAGTTTTTATACAATCTTTGTATTTCCGGGTAATAGTCGTAGTCATTTTTGGGTATAAACTGAACTAGTCTACACATGTTATTGTATTTGGCTATAGAATTGTATTTTAATTACAGAGTGCAGTGTCCACGGCGTCCTGCAGCTTACGGCGTTTGAAGCGATTTTAAGAGGAACCAAAACGCTGGGGCAGAAGCCAGGTTTACTTTAGTAACCGAAAACACTAGTTGTTATTTTATCTCAATGCTTAACGCAGAATTCTATATTGTCTGGCTAAGTGTGGTCCGTATGTACACGATGGTCTCGGGTATTTTGTTACCGTAAAACACAACCATGAGCTTTATTCACAGCTAGAAGCAATAGCTCGTTCTATGCATGGTCTAGTATTACTTTGAATTGCGAAATTGATTTCAGTCGCTTCAATCACAAGCGCATATGCAAAAGAATGCACAAACCATAGGGTTAAGAAGAGTACGGTATGTTACTGAAATATAAAGTTCCTCCCGGGCCATGTTTGTTGATTGTTACTCGATTTATTTTTCAAATGTTTTCATTCCGAATTACAATACACCAAATTTTGCGCCGCGTTATAAGTCTTCAATATATATTTTTCTTGTGCTTAGCTTCCTGCTAATCAGAACACGCCTACTATCCATAGTGAGCACGTTGGGTTGCACACAGATGAGCTGATCCAAAAGAGGCATTCTATCTCTGCTCGTCAGTTGGGATCCATCACGGATGTGCCGCTGCCTGCGCAGTTGGATTTTGATAATACAAACATCTGTGAGTATCAGAACTCTCCAGTAGCTTTAGACAAATGGCCTAAAGCTGGGATCCATACCGATGACATGCCAGGTGTTTTAGGAGCGACACATCATCTACACTACCGAGGGCTAAAAGGACCAGCTTCTTCAATCAGGTAGGTATCACTTCTCCCTCTTGGCATTGTGAGGTCGCGTTTACTATATTCGTGTTATTAACTGCTGGCCCTAAAGCAACTTTTGTGTGTATCACCTTTATCGGTAATCGGTATGTAGTGTTCTCGCTTAATGCGCAGTTATAGCACTGATGTTCTTTGGATACCTCTCCCAGCAAATCGATATTTACTGCGACGTCCTCCGTTTTTTCCTACGTAGTTAAATACTAGCACTACTTGATTTGTTAAATGTGTTCTCGACCAACTTCTACTATTTTCGTAAACACAAAAAGGGTTCGAACAATACTGAAGCATAAATTTTTGTAGAAACCAGATTACCAGTTTCTTATAAATTTTACCTATTATTGATCAGTATTGTCTGTTCTACCAGTTGGCCATTCCAATATGACTCCTAATTTAGTGCTAAAATTCAGTTAAACGGCTGACAGCAGAAGACTCGCTTGAGAATACGCTATCATGCAAGTTCAGCTACAAAGACTTGCGGCTCTGTTTTGGGGTATTATTTGTCAGTACTTCACATAAGCATGATCAGCCAAAAAATCTGACACGGATCCAACCTTTTGACCATGGATAAACTGGTTGCTGCTTACATTGCTCCGGGGGAAATAACGTTGTCCTTGGCAGGGGCTTCTGCAAACGACGGTAGCTGACCAATGTCTGCTTCATTACAAATACACTAGTTTACTACAACATCGTTGAACTCATTATCCTTAATGTCCGTTCCCGTTTCTGTGTTATTAGTAGTTAACCAGACTAGATAAACTTTCTAGCTTCAGCGATGATCCGTTTAAGACCAACTTGTGTCTACAAGATTTTTAAGTATACCTTTACTACTTCAGGCTATTAAATATTAACGGTTAGACGATGAAGTTAAGTTGACCTATGGAAATGCCTGATTACCCTTCCAAAACGGTCATAGGTAATGTTCGTTGTCTGACCGGGATCGGACCTTAGTACTCCAGTATGGCACTGCGACACTTTTTACGCTCAGCAATTTCCGGCGGCACGTTAGCAGCGTTGTCACATGGAGACCTGGTTACTGGAGCCACTGGCTATGCTGGTTTCGTTGAGTAAACACACAGATGCTGTGCTACTTAACGAGACTGCTCCTTGGTCTCCCTCAAAAACTTTACCTCGATAGTTCAGCGAGAAGGCCCAAACAAGTGTTCAACTAAAACTGTCTATTTGTCTAACAGTGTTACCTCCAAGCAGCTGTAAACAAGGTCAAATCCCATATTACTATTAAAAGTCAAATCAGACTACGCTCTGTGAGTTGTTTTAAAGTCTGCTAACACACTGGTTGCTTTACTAGATGTGCTGTCAAATCATTTAACACAACAAGCTTTTAGTGCTTGAAGTTCTATGGTATGGATTGTAGTGCAGTTTACAGAACCAATATCGAAGTCCAAAAGTTATCTAACAATATAGAAATCTTTAGTAATAAAATTGTACTTTTGCTATATGAAAGATAGTTGCTTCGGGTTTTCCTCCTAGCCTATCGATTCTAAGCCGTGATGCGCTCAGTAAAACGCCGACTTTAACTCACATTTTGTGTGAAGTCCGTGGATGCGCTGGCCTACAGCCTTTGGCTCATATGTTGGGTTAAGAGCCTTAAACGACAGCTCAGCTAGACATCTACGGCACTGTGTATACTTCAATTATCCATAGTGTTTCATGCTTTTGTTCTAAACAGGCGTTTACTTGTGATTCGCATTTTAAAACGTCACACTTCCCGTTGCCCGGATGAACTCCTTCCGGTTTCTTACGTGAATTAACTTCGTTCCTCCAACTGGATGTTGTAACGTGTACTTATTTTTTATGTACTTAATGAAACTGAAAGCACTAATCGTTTAGAAACCATCACCGTTTACGTCGCAACAAACTTACTGGCGGGCCCACTTTTAACGGAGGTCTAGTTAAGTACGTGAACCGCATATGGGTTAATTACCATCAACTTAACACTCTAGCATCGTCCAGGATTCGTCTGACTGGCCATCATTGTCTTTACGCAAATTGTCTATTGAGGCCTGTTTACCGGAAAGCGGAATGTATATAAAGCACACTGTATTAACTAAGATTATTAGACATCAGCGCGCACTTGATTATTCTCTTCCAACTCATTATCAGCGGTAGTGTATGACAGCGTTTTAACTTCTAGACATATATATACCGCTTCCTTATCGATGGTAGCTTGGACATTTCCATGAACTAACTTTGTCTTGATGGAACCGGAATGTTCGTAATACTAGCATTTATGACTCTTAATGCGTCAAAAACATCTGCGTAGTTGGTGGGTCCTTTAAGTCCTTCCATAATGTGACATATAAGTTGTAGGAATTTCCCTCACATTGCACAGTAGTTTGCGCTGCGCTGAAGTCAAACACATTTTACTAAAATCTACTGTAGTTTCTCCTACTCTACTGATTTAGGGTTATTCGTTGAAAATGCTTGTCAAACCCAATTTCCGTACGGCCTGTTTTGTTGCCTTACGTGTTCTTGATGAGACTGCCGCATCTCTATATGAACAGCATGACATTTAATAAAATCTGTCAAGTCTAATGGCAATGTGATCCCCGGCTGCTAACTAGAAGAAATCCATTACGATACTACACTATGAGCAACCCTTTTCTTGAATGCGGAGAGTTATTCGGTCAGTGCAACCAATTTTCGGTGGGTATCTGTTTTAGATCACTATGTTCCTCAGAGTACCACTACCATAGGCAAATCTGTAGGCAAATCAGTCCAAGAAGTGAGACAGACAAACCAATTTGGTTTTGCCCAACATGTCAAGTCATTCCAGTGGTCAACTGCTTATCTTTGCTCATGGAAAAATGCGATAGGATGACTGAAATAATCGCGCAATTTGTAAATACTAAGATCCCTCCCCCGGAGGTAAATACGGCCACGATAATATCGCACCCGGCCAAAGTAAGCTCTGAGTCTAAACCGAAGAGAAGAGCAGACTCTCCAACCGCACTGCAGCGTCTGTGACCCTAAATCTACTGGATAACCTCACTCCCATAAGTAGGCAAGCTTCAAACATGACTGCTTCCAATTCTCCAACCATAGAGGCTTCACTTGGAGATTCATCCATGACGCCGACAGCTCAGAGCCGTAGGAAATCCGGTGCAGATAACAAGCAGGTAACGTACGCATCGATTGCCTGGACAAACACACCGGGAGGGACACACATAGGTCCATCTTCAGTACGAGCACGCGTGGCGCAAGGCAGCTTTCACCGTAAACTCCAAGGGTGTCCTCTAAACAACGCAAATTGCCGGCAAAACTATAAAGCCAACACTCGCTAGACAAAACCACGCTGCGTTAATTCTCGTGTGCACCAATGTTTCCGAATCCAAATCTCGAACAATAAAAGGCAAGTTGCAAGACGATCGCAACCAGTGGAGTTATATCTGCGAGGCAATTAACATTCGGGTTGAGCCAGCAGTGCTGCAACTCATAGTGCGTCACCCGACCTCAGTGCACTCTGGTGAACGTCAATTTCTTTGAGTAAAACTAAACTCAGCAGATGAGACAGAGGCTGTCCTGCTCTCAGCAGTTCGTCTTCGCAACTCACCGAGCGGAGTACGCATATTGCCTGATCTACCTTGGAAAGATCGCCCAATAGAAGCAGTTGACCAACGCGGCATTGCTAATAGAGATAGCAAGCAAACAATATTTGTTCATGGTGTTCCTGAGCTTCTACATTCTTCTGATCACGTTGCACAAACTCATGACCGAGAGCAGTGGTGCTACATCCGCGAAGCACTCTCTGTTAACAATGTTATTGCCAAATCCCTGACAAGAGTTCCGTCATCACCTAACTACAAGGGCTGCGGTCCAAGGCTAATTAAAGTAATACTACACTCCGAGGGAATGACGCAAGTTCTGCTGGATAGCTGGTTAAAGTTTCGAGCTAGGCTGCCAACAGAGATCCGGCTAAAAGCAGCAGGCGAACGACCAAAAGCCGGAAGCAATTCAACGGAACTTGCAAACGCAACAAATTCCTTATCTGCACAGTCCTGCGGAGAGACCGACACAACTGCGCCCACGGCACACAGGAGGACCGAGCACAGCACCAGTGAAACTTCTGTTCAGGAACGCTTAATAATGCCATGCAACACGACTGAAATACATAAACCAAAAAACGATTAATTGCCGGCCACCTAACGGCCGGCTTAAAAGCGAACACAAACTTGACATCTATCAATGAACTCCTAACAACAAAAGCCCTATCTTGCATGTATACAAACACCCAAGGCCTTCTAAGCAAGTTGGCAGAACTTTGAGAACTCCATGCCTCACAACCGCGGGACCTCGTCATGATTACAGAGACATGGTTAAACCCTGAGATAACCGATTCTGAGATCAATTTACCCGGTATGTCACTGCTTCGGACCGATAGAACCGGAAGGGGGGGGCGGTGTGATTCTTTATTATAATACAAACCTCCGATGTGAGGTTATCGACCACCCAGAAATCAGAGCACCCGATTCGCTTTGGTGCCGCCTATGGTTGCGAAACAAGGGCACATGTCTACTAGCCGTGATTTACCGCCCGCCAAACTCAACTTCGGAAATGGACTCTAAACTGAACCACGTTCTCCAGTTTGCTTTGAACAAGTCCTACACCCACATTCTTATCGTGGGAGACTTTAACGTGCATGACACAGAAACGCCAGCAACCTACGGTATGCAGCTTAAAGCCTGCTTGCAAGAGCTTATTGCTAGCCACCCTCTTTACAACCACGTAACCTCTCCCACTAGATTTCGAACTACTAACAAGCCGTCCATACTGGATCTTGTGCTCACTAACGAAGAACTCATGGTTAGCGGGATAGTTACAAACACACCGCTGGGTCGTAGTGATCATGTTACTCTACTCTTTGGCTATAATTGCTATGCGGAGTACCCTGAAAAGGAGGAGGATAAAGTGCATACTGTCACACACTACAATGTGTTGTCTAAGCTTGTTAAGGCCAC